GCTTTGATCCCCCATTAATTTGCAGAATTTGTAGCAAAAGAAACACATGAAGGCTTTGACAGTGTTATTTTCAGTTCAGTACAAATGAAGGTCCTGATGGTCTTTCCTAAGAAGAGGTCCAGAGCTTGGGAGCTCCAGGTTCCGAGAGGGATGGAGGGCAGCAGTTGCTAACTATCACAGGAGGAAAAGACAGGGCCTGGGACTGAAAGCGGAATATAAATGCCGAGTTTCCTAACGGGGCTGTCCATCTGTGGTGTGCCTGACTTGCCTGCCCTTCAGGGCGGTGCCATGGCCACTCTCTCTTCCAGTCTGGCTGTATCAAGCAATCGGGTAGCTTTCTTCCGGAGTTCAGTTTGCTGGGGCTAACACAATTTTAGTTCCAATGGGCAAGGCAACTGGCATAGGACACCCTGTCCATGATGTTCAGCAAAGCCAAATATATTGGACAATGCTCTAAGCTGCTAGACCACTGGGCACTTCAGACGGTAGGTCCAGTCCACACTGCATTTCCTACCCAGGAGGAGTGCATGAAGGGCCTGTGTTCACACAGGCCTCTGTCGGTGCTCCTTCTTCCATGGGGGTGCTCCTGCCCAGAGTGAGGCCCAGTGAGCATCACTGACCATCCTGTCATTCTCTCTGGCTCCCTTCTGGGCTAAAATATAAAACCACTTTGAAGTGAACATATTCATTCCTTTGTCTTTTGCATTAAAATTTTTAAAGGCAGGGGCACCTGGGTGACTCAGTCAGCTAAGCATCAGACTTCGGCTCAGGTCATGATCTCAGGGTTCATGGAATGAAGCCCCAAGTCAGGCTCTGTCAGAGCCTGGAGCCTGCTTTGGATTCTGTGTCTCCCTCGCTCTCTGCCCCTCTCTCGCTTGTGCTCTGTCTCTCTCTCTCTCTCTCTCTCAAAAGTAAACAGTGAAAAAAATTAAAAAAGGAAAAAAAGGCAAATGACATTAAAAATGAGTTATCTAAGGTTTTAACATCTTTAGAATGTTGGGAGAAGTCTAAATGCCCAAGAGTTCATAAAGGTGTTGTTAAGCCAATCATGTCTTGCTGTCTTATTTTGCCCCACCTGCTCGTTTTCTGACTTCCAAGTACGTTCTTTTATTGTCTAAATTGTAACGTTTGTTGATTTAAACCACATAGAGCTACCTATGATAGAAAATATGTTGGATCACATTATTCAAAACTGTCTCCCAGGTTGCAGAAAATCATAGGGTACCTCCTTGGGAATCCCCACCACAGGGACAGGTCATCAAGGCTCAGCACCACCCAAAATTTCCAAAAGCACTATGACATATCAGGGAATGCCTGGGCCTGACTCTTACCACTAGGTGTCACACTACACAATCAGGAATAAAGACTACCAGTACTTCAACTCCATCAGGAACACAGAGCAGTAAGAGGTGCAAAGAAAGCTATTCTTGAGATACTTTTTATTTATGCATGGTTTTCTTTTTAAATAATCATTTTTAAACCTGGAGCTAAAAATCCTCCTCTAAGGTATATAAGTGGGGCACTTAGAGTTCAAGATTTCTGTACTTTTTTTTTTTCTTTTACAGACATGAATATTTCCAAACAGGGGAACATCTACCCTCTATTTTACCTCATGATTGGAGTAGAAAATATTTTTAGTATCTTCTTCAAATTATAGTATATTCAATATACTATATATTTTCATATTTTCACAACATGTTTTCAACAGTGTTAACACAACAATTGCTTTGGCCAAATGATTAATATGTTGGGATAGAAATTAGGTAAACTGCCATGGAGTGCCTAGGTAAATTTCTCTGCACTTCAGTTTCTTTGGGGGAAAGTAGGAAAAATACCTATCTTACAAAATTAGTTCTGAGAACGATGTTTGCATAAAGTCTTGGAGTCCTTCCAAAAACTTATACTGTGATATTTCTAAGAGACACAGTCACCCTTAAGCAGCTATACATGCATTTGTGAACAAGCAATAAAATTTTTAAGCTCAGAAAAAACCTTCAATGACATTAAATCCAATCTTATTATAGAAGCAGGTATACCACAGCAAAGTTAACTAATCTCTCCAATTAATGTGTAGTTAATTAGAGGTAGAGCCTGGAATTGAGATTTACTTATAGTTGCTGTTCTACCCTGCCTCAATAATTATCTATTTTGTACATCGTGTGCCTCCAGAGACAATGGAGTCTATGCTTGGGAACCTTTCATTGTAACATGTGATCATTACTATCCTGAAGGTTTTATTTCTTGATTTTAGGTTTTTTCCCCCTTATATGGTTTATCTTACCCCCACTGAACCAGATTCCCTATATTCAGATAGTTGGAGGGGCGTTAGGAGAATGGCCAGTCAAGTTAAAGATGCTTGCAATAATCACCAGACATTTCTGCACAACTATAGAGGCTTCTGGGGCTAATTCTGAAGAATTCAGACCCAAGTTGCTTTATTTTGCCTGAACCAATTCTAGAAGTAGATGAGTTCAATTACAGGCTTGTTGGCTAGGAGATGGGGGTGGGGCAGGGAACATAAGTTCTATTTCTGCAGGTGAAACCAGAGGATGAGGAGTCTGGAGTAGTTACACATATTGCCAGGAGAGGTCCAACTGCTTCCACCCCCACCCCCATCCCAGGACAGGTGTGCATGGAGTCAGCAAGGGGGTAATGTTAGGGCTGCCATGAGCCTCCTTGTGGTGTGCTTAGCAACTACTTTATTAACCATCCTTAAGGCCCAATCTTGTGTAAGGCACTACTCAACTAATTAATTCTTTAGCCTCTTCCAAATGCCCTTGGAAAGTCGCCCAGCTCGGCACCCAGAAGCAGTCACAGGATCCATTCTCTACAGCAGCACAATGCAAATCAGAGAACATGACCTCAATAATTATTTTGTTAACGCAAGGTAGCAACCTATAACCTCTACTACAAAGATTAACACCTTGCTTTACTTGAAAAAACATACGGTCATATTCAGCATTTTCCCCTGAATGCAGGGCAGAGTGCTTCCCTCTCCAGTCAATAGGACTGTTAACCCCGAGGAAACTATTTGAGGGTTCTCCAAGCATTTAGACTTTTAATGCCAAAGCATTCACAACTTCTACCTGAGGAGAGGGAGTGCTCGGGGACTTGCTACCTGTCCCTGTGCTGCAGAGAGCCTGGTACTGACAGGATGGCGGAGGCAGTCTGCAACCTTCTAACCCGCCAGGGCGTCCTTCCCCGCAGAGAAAAGTTTGGGGAAACAAATCCCCTCGTCTAGCCATCATTTCCACTCCCGTTTTCAAAAGAGCAAAAATCGGAAAGGACCGGCAGTTTGGCAAACCCCAAGGAGGAACTGCCCGGCAGGTCTGCGTTCTTTGGGATCTCAGCAGTCGACGACCCCAAATCGAATCGAACGTGGGAAACCCCAGGGAAAGGTTTCTTGCAGAGGGACAGGATTACTAGGTGCAGGCTGCAGGGAAGTACCGGGGGAGGGGGCCTTAGTCGGGAGGACTTTCCAGCCACTCAGCGTTCATCAAAAAGTTCCCAGTACATGACCCCAGTGGCTCATCGCAGGGAGTTTCTCTGATGAACCCCGGCTCAGAGTTTAGGCTTCTCCCCCTCCCACCCCCCCCGCCCGAGCAGAGGACGAGGCCAGTTC